AAAGAAAAGATGTTAAATGATACTGTAAAACAAGAAATAACTAGTATATTAGAACAAAAAATGAAGTTAACATCAAGCAAAGAGGAAAGTACAGAGGAAAACTGGACGAGAATTAATGACATCTTAAAGACTGTTCAAGAAACAAAATTGAATGCGCTAAAAGCAAGAAAAAACAAGAGTGGATGACAGAAGAAATAGTGAGACTTATGGATCAAAGAAGAGAAGTCAGAAATAAAGATAAAAACGAATACAAGAGGATCCACGCAATAATCAGGCAGAAGATAAGACACGCGATAACACATTTTCATAGTAAAGAATGTAATGAAATTGAACAATATAAAAAGAAACACGTTACATTTCATCTGCACAAGAAATTAAAAGAGGCCGCTGGAAACAAACGGAAACAAGTATCCCAAAGTTTAGAAGACAGAAACGGACACAGGATATTAGACATCAATGAATAGTTAAAATAATGGGAAAACTACATTTCTGAATTATTTAAAGATGAGAGAGTAGAATACTATTCACCGATTGCTATATCAGGTCCATCTATAATAGAAAGTGAGGTTACACGTTCAATACAACGGCAAAAAATGGAAAAGCACTTGGCCTCGATGAAGTAAGTGCTGAAATAAAGATTTAGGGAGAAAATGGAATTAAAGCTCTGTGTTATCTCTTTAACAGAATTTATGACACTGGGACATTACCAACTGATTGGTTAAAGTCGACATTTGTTACAATACCTAAGAAACATCGTCCAAAGACATGCGGTGATTATCGGACAATAAGTCTGAGTCACGTTTTGTAGATCTTCTTGCGCGAGTAATACACAGCAGAATTTACACGCTGTTAGAGGACAGAATTAGCAATACTCAATTTGGGTTTAGGAGTGGCTTGGGTATAAGAGAAGCCTTGTTTAGTATAAAGGTTTCTTATATATTTAGGTTTCCTATTTAAGTGGTTTCATTTTTTTGTGTATCCTTTTTTCTTCTTTTCTGTTTGTCTGTTAATTATCTATAGTTGTTTTAGTTATAGAAGAGGGTAACTCACTAATAAAAACAAAATCTGACACCCACAAGAATCCCACAATTAAAACGGCATCTTTATTTCATTATTTTTTAGGATTGAATTATTTTATTAGAAATTAATTCTGTCGTGATATCTTTGTAGGCACCTTTGTCATTTCATGAATTTCTTACTTCCTCTGGTCTAAATATTGTATTTACAAGGTATTAAATCACAATTGATTGTAAAGAGAATTACATTTTACATTTGTTTTGACGGTTCTATTTTCAAAACGGAAATTGTTTTCACAAAATCATTATAAATTAAGAAATTATGTTAAAATGTAAATTTTTATCAATTTGCGCTTTGTGGCAAGCAATTTGGCTAAACTGGTTGCCACAAAGCTAACTTCCAAAAACACATTTCTGTAATTCGTTTTATAGATAAACGATATATATATATATATATATATATATATATATATATATATATATATATATATATATATATATATATATAAAAGGATCACTCAACAGAGTGGTGGGCTCTTATATCGGTCAATTTGTAGGTGGAGAAATGAAAGACAAAGTTGATGTGCCACTCTATCTATTTTGAAAACGTTTCGCTTTCGTATTCTGAAAGCATCATCAGTTCATTCTAAAAAGTATAATATAAGAACCACACAATCATGGAAAAGATGTTACAGGTGTTACCTTAAAAAGACATGTAGCAGTCAAAGATGTTAACAAGCTTATGAATTAAACTTGAATAAATGGACAATATAAAGTAGAAATGTATAAACATTTAATTTACTAACAACATTTAGTGACTTATTAAAAAATTAGCACAGTGAGTGACCATGTGGTCAGAAGTATAAAAAATATATATTAAATTATAACGTAGTTGATGCAAAGAACTAAGAAAATCAACGATTAACTTCCAACAATAGATAATTATTAAATTTTAATTTTAACTTTTGGTAGCATTATTAAAAGATGTTAATATAATTTAAAAATAAAATAAGTGTAAAAGAATGAAGTTACCGGTCTAAGCCTTACACCTGCTACCAGGAAAATGGCGTTAGATTGAACAGACTGACACAGATCTACGAAAAGACAGCCAACCTTGAGGTTGAAATTATTTCAACAGAACAGCAAGGTCAGAGGTACCACCTCAAATAATTGAGCGGTTTATTTAAAAGTTAATGAGCTTTGGATGACAGCCCGCTTGTAAGAGACAATCCAATGAAAGAGACTGATATAGTAATAACAATCACTCGCATTAGCCCGTCTAAAAACAAACAAACAGGAGAATTTCATTCAAACTCTTATATTTAAATTTATGTTAAACATTGTGGCTGAAGAAATTTTTGCCAACAGGTGAATAACAATTAGATAATTTCCAACAGTCTAAGCTTCATACACTTAGATCTGTAATTTGTAAAGGATTCTATGAATCAATTACAATGTTAATATTATTACTATACTATTAAATAGTGACTGGTTCACACTCATATGGACAAATTATAATGTAGAGGTAACCTTGTAATGAAAGTTGCCTATATTTAAGTAATTGCTATAAAGAATTGAGTGTTATAGTTTATTTTATATTAGTTATTTATTTACTATGTTCTATTATTCAATGAAAAATTTGTGTTCAAATATGTATATTACATGATAATTATATTGAAAATGAAAATAAAGCCTAGTTCTGCAATATTAGAGCATGATAAATTTGGCTCAAGTTACTTATGTCAGTTCTCTTATTTAGAGAATTAGGATGTTTAAGAATTGAACACATTTCTAAAAACTGTCTTTTAAATAGATTACGTTCAATGCCAAGAATCTTAACTTCATTAAAATCCACTTTATGTTTGGTGCTAATAGCATGATGTGCGAGAGCACACGTATTTTTTGATAAATTAATATCACTACGATGGGAAGTAAGACGACCTTTTAAAGATCTACCGGTCTGGCCAATGTAGCACAATTCACAGTCAGAGCATGGAAGGTGGTAAATTGTAGACAATGGTGTTTTAGTTTAGACCATTGTCTACTTTAGAACAAGTCAATACAATTTACCACCTTCCATGCTCTGACTGTGAATTGTGCTACATTGGCCAGACCGGTAGATCTTTAAAAGGTCGTCTTACTTCCCATCGTAGTGATATTAATTTATCAAAAAATACGTGTGCTCTCGCACATCATGCTATTAGCACCAAACATAAAGTGGATTTTAATGAAGTTAAGATTCTTGGCACTGAACGTAATCTATTTAAAAGACAGTTTTTAGAAATGTGTTCAATTCTTAAACATCCTAATTCTCTAAATAAGAGAACTGACATAAGTAACTTGAGCCAAATTTATCATGCTCTAATATTGCAGAACTAGGCTTTACTTTCATTTTCAATATAATTATCATGTAATATACATATTTGAACACAAAATTTTTCATTGAATAATATAACATAGTAAATAAATAACTAATATAAAATAAACTATAACACTCAATTCTTTATAGCAATTACTTAAATATAGGCAACTTTCATTACAAGGTTACCTCTACATTATAATTTGTCCATATGAGTGTGAACCAGTCACTATTTAATAGTATAGTAATAATATTAACATTGTAATTGATTCATAGAATCCTTTACAAATTACAGATCTAAGTGTATGAAGCTTAGACTGTTGGAAATTATCTAATTGTTATTCACCTGTTGGCAAAAATTTCTTCAGCCACAATGTTTAACATAAATTTAAATATAAGAGTTTGAATGAAATTCTCCTGTTTGTTTGTTTTTAGACGGGCTAATGCGAGTGATTGTTATTACTATATCAGTCTCTTTCATTGGATTGTCTCTTACAAGCGGGCTGTCATCCAAAGCTCATTAACTTTTAAATAAACCGCTCAATTATTTGAGGTGGTACCTCTGACCTTGCTGTTCTGTTGAAATAATTTCAACCTCAAGGTTGGCTGTCTTTTCGTAGATCTGTGTCAGTCTGTTCAATCTAACGCCATTTTCCTGGTAGCAGGTGTAAGGCTTAGACCGGTAACTTCATTCTTTTACACTTATTTTATTTTTAAATTATATTAACATCTTTTAATAATGCTACCAAAAGTTAAAATTAAAATTTAATAATTATCTATTGTTGGAAGTTAATCGTTGATTTTCTTAGTTCTTTGCATCAACTACGTTATAATTTAATATATATTTTTTATACTTCTGACCACATGGTCACTCACTGTGCTAATTTTTTAATAAGTCACTAAATGTTGTTAGTAAATTAAATGTTTATACATTTCTACTTTATATTGTCCATTTATTCAAGTTTAATTCATAAGCTTGTTAACATCTTTGACTGCTACATGTCTTTTTAAGGTAACACCTGTAACATCTTTTCCATGATTGTGTGGTTCTTATATTATACTTTTTAGAATGAACTGATGATGCTTTCAGAATACGAAAGCGAAACGTTTTCAAAATAGATAGAGTGGCACATCAACTTTGTCTTTCATTTCTCCACCTACAAATTGACCGATATAAGAGCCCACCACTCTGTTGAGTGATCCTTTTATATATTGGAATTTGACGGTCGTACTCCTTTTTCCGATATATATATATATATATATATATATATATATATATATATATATATATATATATATATATATATATATATATATATATATATATATATATATATATATATATATATATATATATATATATATATATATTATATATATATATATATATATATATATATATATTATATATATATAATATATATATATATATATATATATATATATATATATATATTACGATATTATAATATACATTTACAGAGAAAAGACTTCAATCCTATTCTTTCTGGTGCGTAATACTTCGCCCTTTATAAAACGAATTTTAGAAATCTGTTTCTGGAAGGTAGAGGTGTTTTCAAATAAATTTTATAGGCAAACATCTAACAGACTTTTATTTTATTTAGACCGATATGACCCAGTTTATTGGTTTGCCCATAGAAAATAAAGTGGCTGCCTTCTTACCAGAAAAATTACATCAAGAAAAAGACAAGAACGAATCGAAGTTAGTTCATTTGGCGTTAAAGAACGTAGATACTGAAATCGATAAATTTGTACAAGTTAATACAAGAGAATTAGCCAAGGATAAGTGGTTGTGTCCGTTATCTGGAAAGAAATTTAAAGGTAAATTTAAAATTCATTCATATTATATTTTTTTTACTGAGCATTGCATTAAGTTTACATAGTAATTTCACAAATTATACTGACTGCATTCGATAGCGAAAACCATGATTTGTTTTATAAATTTTGAATTTAATTATTTTGGTTTATGTACTTCATATTTTCAACAAAAATTTATGACGGGTAGCTCTTTTAGACAGCAGACTCAGTTAAATACTGTTTAATTTTAAGTTTAAATTAAATAAAAATACATCGAAATAAATAAATAACAATATAAAATTAGATCCTAGGTAATATATACAATAAATAAAAATTAAAACGTCAATCCTGGGACGCGACGACGGCATCCAGGCGGTATGACTCACTGTTCAATATCTGCGAAAAATAAAATACAATTAATGATATATAAATCTAAACGGCAATTACGCTGTGATTAATACACACAGGACACAGACGGTAGGAAACGAGTCAAAGGAATAGAGATGGAACAGGCCAATCAACACTCTGTCCGGAGAGGAACGGACGGTATACAATCAGTACTTTGACATAGGAGACAATAGGTATGTCTCAGATCGGTACTCCGAAGACTGGGTACGGAACTGCCACTAGATCAATACTCTAACAGAAGCGGTTGGCCTTCAGTAAATACCATTGGGCCAGTGGAGTTGTCGTCAGATCAATACTCCGACAGAACTCTACTTTCTTTTGCGGCGGCTGCTCTTTTATATGATCGAAGTTCTTCCATCTCCTCTAGCGCACATCGATGGAGGAGGGACTTCTCGTAGGGAAGTGTGACTACGAAACGCTAACGGTATCGAGTAACGGTATTATTGTCCGATTTATACCGCCCAGCGCCTTCCGGTTTACAGTCTCCCAATAATAAATCTCTCTCTGACATTGCCTTTTGGACTTTGGCCTTTCTTGTGGCATTTTAAATTAATTACTATTTAACTGGGAATAAGCCACAATTAAAGATAAAAATACGTTTATTGACGTTTCAATTTCCACTTCGGAAATCGTTCTCAAAATACGAACAGTAAATTAAACAAATTTTGGTTTTTGTTACATAGTGAACAATTCTTCTAATAATTTAATTTTATCTACTCATTTATATTGACAATTCAGACATACATTATGCATTTTAAAGTAGACGACTTTAAAATGATATTGCCAATATTGTTGATTTGCGCTCCTGGAACGACTTTACTTATAAGATTGTCAATTCGATTACATGAAATCAACTTTAACTTGAGAATATCCGTCAGAAAAAAATCATAGCATGTAATTCGTCTTTAAAAAGACAAACACATGACATGATGACAGTAAAATTCTCCTGTTAGTGATTCCATAGTAAATTATGAGGGAAAAACCAGGAAAAAAACCTCATAATACTATCCCGACATGGTAAGTATTTGTTCGTGCATTTAGTTTACCTTCAATAAACACCAAAATTATGATTTTATATGTTTCGTTATTTACAAAACATAAATGATGTATCCTCTATATGTTACTGACTTACTAATACTGGTATTTTCTTATTAATAACTTCCTCTTTCAATATTGGTAACCATATCCTACTACATTCTGCCGAGGAATTTGCGACACAATTGGCCTCATTTAGCATAATTTGAGCCGCTTCTTTGATTTTTCTTTTTTTACCATCCGTTTCTTTTAGGACTACATTTGAATTATTCCATTGAACCCTATGTTCATTATCCCATGCGTGTTTACATATATGCGATTTATCAAATTCTCTATTTTTAATATAAGATTGATGTTCACTTATTATATCATTTAATGGCCTTGATGTTTCACCTAAATAACACTGATCGCATTCACAAGGTATTTTATAAATGCAATTCTTTGTCCTTTCTTGTTCATTGTTAGGTTTGGTTTTGGACAAAATAGATCTCAACGTGTTTGTTGTTTTGGATGTTGTTGAAATGTTGAATTTATTTCCTATCCCTTTTAAATATTTAAATTTGATTCGACAATCGCTTCGATTAGATTCGATGTTTGATTCGATTCGATAATCGATTCGATTTGACTCGACAATCGCCTCGATTAGATTCGTTAATCGATTCAATTCGATATTTGATACGATAATCGATTCGATAATCAATTCGATTTGATTCGATAATCGAATCGATAACCGATCTGATTCTATAATAAATTCGATTTGAATCGATTTTATTCGATAGTTAATCAATTCGATTTTATTCGATAATCGATTCGACAATCGCTTCGATTAGATTCGATGTTTGATTTGATTCAATAATCGAATCGATAATCCATTCGATTTGATTCGATAATCGACTCGACGACAACAGATTCGATTCTATAATCGATTCAATTAGATTCGATATTTTATTCGATTCGATGTTTAAAAATAACATACATATAAAATCACGAGTTTGGTTTGGTTTGAATATTGACAGAAAACTAAATGTAAGATCAAATACTTTTTATGTCGGGATAGTATCATGGGGTTTTTTTCGTATGATTTACTATGGGATCAATAACAGGAAAATTTTACTGTCATTATAGCACGTATTTGGTATGGTATTTTAATTTATTATAAAGTAAAAAACTTATAGTTTTTTCCCATTAGTTAATAGTTTATAAAAAAAACTTCTTTTAAAATAAAATTGTGGCTTGTTCCCAATAAAAATAATAAATTAACATTATGTGTGATTTTTAATTATACTAGCAAAAATTATAAAGCTAGCAATTTACGTCGACATTATGAAACAGTCATCCTCAGTTTTATAATTAGTGGGTAACCAAATTCCAAATTAAGATCAGGTAAACTTGCTTCATTAAAATCAAATTTAAATAAACTACAGTCAATAGGGACGATCTTTAGTAATCAAACTCTTTTGGCATTGCCATTTAAAGTTTTCGATCCAAATAATGCAAGCATTGCACAAAGTTGTTTTAGACTATCCTATCCTAGACAAAGATCCTATCACAAACACACAATGGAACGAAAATAATTGCAATGAATACATCTCTTGAACATATTTATTTATTTATTTATTTAATTAACGGATATACCATTTTTACAGAAATATGACGTCAACCTTTACAAAGCTTATACATAGGTTGCGTTAATAAAAAACAAACCAAAATTAAAATCAAACAAAATTCAATTAAAGTAGTAGCTTAAGTTATTAAATAATGCTCAAAATCTCTCAAATGATTTCTTAAATGTTGCTGTAGATATTCCAAATAACTCTAAACTATTGCTGTGCTCATTGGCAGTTCGTAAAATTCTTGTAATGGGTTCATTTTGGCCATAATTCGTACTGTGGAATGGAATGTTGAAAATCTCAGTGTTACGAGTTCTTCTAGTATTAACATTAAAACTTATTAAACTTAGTAACTCTGGATCTTGAACATATCCATTTATAATTTTAAAAAGGAAACATAAATCCGCTTGACATCTTCTATCATGTAGTGATGAGATATTTAGTATTGACAGTATATCATCATATGTGTATTGCTGTCTAATAAAACCAATTTTGTAAGCACATACCCTCAAGAATTTATTTTGATCTCTCTCGATACTGTTGATGTCACTGTTATATGAAGGAGACCAAATGAGAGAACCATACTCCAAAACTGATCGAACTAAACTAAAGTATAACATTTTTAAAGTTTGTACTGAAAACTGATTACAGTTTCTAAGAATAAATCCTAACATTTTTAAAGCTTTAGCTGAAGTTTCGTTAATGTGATATTTAAAAGTTAGTTTAGAATCAAAATTTATACCTAAATCTTTAATATTATGACGTGCCTCTAAAGGTACATTATTTATACAATAATCATAATTTACAAACTCTCTTGATCTTCCAAAAGTGAACTAAGTGAACTAGTGAAAGACTGAAAGAAAACGGGCGGCTGGCGCCGAGCTTGTGTGATGATTGAGACGAGACATCTGGCAACCAGTTCTGTTAGGGTTGGATTTCAATGTCGGTCCTACAAATAGTTCTTTCGCGAACTAGTTCACTGAACTAGTTCATTTTTGTGAAATAGTTCTGTTGAACTAGTTCGTCTAAAAGAACTAATAAGCACACCTCTAACTCATAGATAATTGGTATAACCACAAAACTAGTTTTCAATGTTTTGCAGATTTTTCTTAAATTCGGCAAACGCGCATCTATCGCTATTTAATACATCACTGCTGCCTTCTACTAAATGACACGTGAACTTATTTTCTCATCTCATCAAGTGATAGCTGAAATAATCTCTCACTATCAAAATGACAACTTATTACGGTAACATCAACAAAATCCCTAGTTAGCAGGTTTTAATTGTAATTTTATCTTTAGGTACAGTTAATTTAAAAATTGCGGCAGTATGGATAACGAACATTTGCTTAAAATAAAGGTTTTTGGATAGTTAATCATTTAACGTAGTTATTTTGTACCTAAGTTCAAAAATTATTTCACAATACCAATTTTTAGGCACGTTACCACGTAAGTTATGACATGGATTCATTTAAGTACAGTTATGAAAAAAATACTGCTTTCTTTGGAAATGTTAACTAGATATCATTAAAATAGAAAGTTTTATAGTTTACGTACATAATCATAAGTTGAAGATTTGTTTTGAAATAGTGACGATAATTGTACCTAAAAGTATATAAATTTTAACATTGTGACATACCACCATACATATTTAATTGCAACTCGAGAAAAATTTCAAATTTCGATTGGCTCGGACTATCAAGGAGCTTGGTCATCCTTGCAAAAGAACAGACAAATAATTTTCAAATTTTTTTCTATTGGACGGTTAATTCTATTAGTAATTACATTGTTGTTGATGAGGGTAAATTAATTTTGTTTTAGGTCCAGATTTTGTTCGGAAACACATATTTAATAAACATGCTGAGAAACTTGTAGAAGTAAGAAAAGAAGTGGAATTCTTTAATAACTACCTGAAAGATCCCAAGAGACCAATGTTAGCAGAAGCTCCTCAACAAAAAAGAGAAGAACCTGCTAACTACCCACATATGTAAGTAATTTTTTCTATATAATTAATATTTTATTAATGGACTGATACGTATTTATGCTGATGAAGTTTATTTATTTATTTATTTAGTGTATGGCTTACATCACAGAATTTGTAATTAAATTTGCATTTATATATTATGCAATCCATTACAAACAGATGTCCAGTTTTATTATATACCTTCTATTGACTCTCCTTTGCCATTACAAAGTCTTTAGAGTCGCCTGTGTATGCTCTGCGTGGGCAGTGTTGTACCATGTGTCTGAGCGCTGTAATTACAAGAAGGCGAGAGAAGTTACCCCATCTGTAGGGGGAGGCGACAGTTGCAGTTTCCGTTTGTTTTGATTTGATTAAGGGTTACCCAAATATTACAGGAACGTTCAAATCCGTCATGTTTGTCTATGTTGTCCAGTAGACTATGGTAATGCGAATCTGTTACTAAGGGGGGTATGTTACATTGTGGAGATGGGCATAATTGTGCCTGTTATCATACGCATAGCACGGTTTAGTTGATTATCGACCAGGTGGGTATGTCTGCTGTTCAACTACACCGGTGCACAATATTCGGCTACCGGATATATCAGACCAAGAGCGGAGGATTTTCAGGTTGATACTGTGGACCCCATGTAGGGCCGCAGATGCTCTGTATTATATTGTTTCGTGTTTTTAGTTTTGCTGGTGTTTTCGACAGGTGACAGGTTTGAATTTGAGCGTTATGTTTAGAGTAACACCAAGGTATTTCGGGTATTGTGTTTCAGTAGTTTGCTATTAAAATACACTAGTCAGCATATCAGACTTGCGAAATTCGGTTTCAGGCATATGAGCAATATAGAGGCTAAAAAGTAAGTAACTCAACTAAGCAAAAATCCTTAGCGAATTGGTTTCTAGTACTCGTACAGAGTAAATCGGAATAAAAAGGAAAAGACATTTAAGATTTGATTTCACGTATAGTGCGTCTGTGTATCCGCTTATACGTATTTCGGCCTAATAGGCCTCGTCAGAAGGGCAATTTACAGTCGCTCTGAACGTGAAAATAAATCTCTTCTGTCTTAGGAAGCAACTCTAACATGGCTTCGAATAGACGTAAATAGCCACATCTGATATTAAATCCGTGAAATAATTTTCGAAAATTAATTCTAAACAGAGTTGCTTCCTAAGACAGAAGAGATTTATTTTCACGTTCAGAGCGACTGTAAATTGCCGTTCTGCATTAATATGGATAAAATTTGGTTGCAGCAAGACGGCTGTACAACTCACAATGCACGGGAGGTATTAGATTTTTTAAACATTACGTTTCCAGTTATTAGTACAAAAGGTAGCATAAAAATGCCACCCCGCTCTGCTGATCGTGCACATTTGGAATTTTTCTTTATGGGGTTATGTGAAGCAACAAATTTACCGACATGAGCAGAACGTGCCGGAAATTTAGACGAATTACTTCAAAAAATCATTGAGGCCTTTCAATGTCCGAAGGCAATTATCCAATAGATTGTATGCAAGAGTTTATGTTAATTTTTATTAATTGAGTTTAAAGAAACTTTTGATTTAATCAAGATGTGAACCTGCTTTTAATTTTAAATCTTGTAATCACATCGTAAATATATTTCACCAGAACATCTAAAAAAAAACTTTCTTTCGGCAACGATGTATTAAACCAGACTGCCCCGTCTTACCAGAAGGTAAGATCAGAGTGTTTACGAGTATATCACAGACATGTGGTTACATGCTATTTTCTCGGACATACGAAGTCTATATAATATTTTTTCTCGGTTCGTTGCGTTGTTTAACGCCCTATTGTCAGATAATTTTTTCAATACCTGTATATTGGTCTTTTAAGGACACCACTGTTACCATTAATTTTAATAGTTAAAATGAGGATAATTTCTATTAAGGTCATATAATAAACTAAGTCTAAGGAAAATGGTAAAAACAAAAACAAGAACAAAAGTGGTAAAAAATCGCTCATTCTGCTTGTCCAAAAAAAGTCACAAACATATCCTTTGGGGCTTTCTGCATCCAAATATTCAAAATGTGCCCAAATTTCGTAACTAGTGCACCGATACCACAATTAATTTTTTCCAATATCCTTTCAAATAATACATCGAATTCCGTCATCATCAAGATCGTCACATGCATCTTCATTAAACAATCTTGTTTCATTTCATGATTCGTCGGAAAGCCTTTTTCACTTTGCATTTGGCCTTTTTATGTTTCTGTTTGAGTTTTAATTTATTTCTGATTTTTTACTTGACAGTTGAATATTTTCATTTTCTGGTTATGAAGTAAAAATCTGCCCTTTTGATTTTCCTTTAGGGTTACTATTTTTTTTTGCTCTTTTTACTAATTTTTTGGTATATTCCTTTTCTTCTCGTTCTTGTCTTTTATGTTGCTTTTTTTCAAAAAATATTTTCATGGTGATTTTAGTTCAAATTATTGAATGTTGTTTTTCTTGAATTCTTTGGTAACTTGGTTGTACCGCCTCCTAGTGGTGATAGTTGGTATGATGAACTTTGTAGAAAAATCGAGTCTGATCCCTTGAAGTATCCTTAGTGGAGAATGTATGGTGGCAAACTGTATAAATACATCCGTCCCACTCATGGATTTTTGGTCGAGGAAGTGGACAATTGGAAAGAGGTCGTTCCTTAGGGTCGGCGATTGGAAGTGCTGAAGTTGTGTCATGATAGCCCTTTAGCAGGTCATATGAGGATCCTGAAAACTTATAAGCGTATTAAGGCCGGCCATTGGTAATGTTATAAGTATAGGCGATCCCATCACCTTTATAAAGTACACCACTCATAATCTAGAGCATATATGTATACCGAAAAATGCTTAACCTACTAACAATATATCTCGCTAATTACAGCCATATTTTTGCTATCCTACCTGTTGTGTATTGTTTATAAAAAAATGTGAAAGTTTTGCTTTTTTCTCAATAAATATAAGAGCGTTTATATCTAAATTACTCAAGTATTTAAACGAATTTGATGATAAAATTCCGTCTAGAACTAGAATATATATAATGGAAGGATGTAACGTTAAAAAAATGTGAATTAATAAAGTACTTTTTACGTGGTGTACTTTTAAAATAAATTTCTGCAATTAATAGAAATTGACATGTGAAACGTAAATATTGGACATATAATACGAAAAAAGTATAGGAATCTGTAAGAATCTAAGCTCTGTTAATGTAGCCATTATGTATAAGATGGCGCTACGAAAAAATTACATAAATATGAAAAATTCGGGAGCGTAATGTATTTAGTGTAACTAACTCCAAGTCAGTCAAATTCGGGACAAGGCTGAAAAAAATACCTAAAATCCGGGACTTTCCAATGAAAATCGGGTCATTTTTTTAATATGGAACTTTATCATTTATCAATAAAATATCATTTTATTGATTACATATTTAACATTTTATGTTGATAAATTTTTTTTTGATGGAATGGGTTGTAGTTATAATTATATTTTTGTTAGTTTTTGACGTTTCGACTTCCAATCCGGAAATCGTTCTCAAAAAGGGAAAAATTAGAAAATTAACTGATATTGGATTTCCATGGGAATAGAACATTAGGTTAATATAAAAATATAATTATCATTATTTGATATTCATGTTTTTGAATCGTCTTTTCAGAAGACACTAATTAAAATACAGAAACGGGAAAGTCCACAGTTTGAGTTTTCGTAGAACTATAATAATATAATATAAAATGCATGCATTTTGGATGTGGTATTAGTATTACACTCTAGAAATTGTCGACTTTTTTTCGTCCCGCCAATTCAATTTGATGTGAATTCTCAGAAGAATAACGTATTCAAAATATCAAAATATAATTTTACCAAAATGTTGAAAATTCGGATGGCCCGGAAGCCTTGTCCGGGACACCGGGACACGACTTCGTAATTCGGGCCATGTCCCGGATTTTTCGGGCTAGTTGGTCACACTAAATATATTACTAATATTAATTATTATTATATTATTAATTACTAATAATAATATATTACGTTTATTACTCTCGCTTGCAAACGGTTGAAGTGTAGAGTCGATTTATTAAAATATGAGGACACTGCTCGCAATAAGAAATGCATAGCGAGCGGTGCCCTCATCTAATATTTCGACTTTAACAGGTAATGGATGTCTTCCAAAAAGCCGATGAACTAGTTCAGAACGCCTATTAGTTTGCGCAATATTAAAATAGAGGTACCAAAATTTATCTGCGCCAACTTATTCCCGTTTTGAACTAGTTTACGGCTTGTTGAATTATATTCAATAACTCTACGATTTAATGAGTGAAATTAATAAAATGAAGTAAAAGCTCAGACTCTAAATATTTGGAGTATTTGTTCTGTACCACCCAATGGGTTAATACGATTTTTAGCGAAGACTCCAAAAATTTTGAGTCTGAGCTTTTACTTCTCTTTATTAATATCGATCACTAATTGGCACATGAAGGGGAGAAGAATCATTTAAAGTTTTTATTTTAAATCAATTTCTGTATTAAATGTCTTAATGAACAGTCTTCAAATTTTTCTTATTATTGCATTTTTTCTTTACTTTTTCTCTTGCTTCCAAAACCGTCGGAGGATCGCGGCATTTCAATTTTTTTAGTCTTCGACCTAAAATGATTTCTGGCCCGAGACACTCTTTATAAAAGGTTATTAATTTTGGGAGCATTTTATTTTTCCATAACCTATCATCTCTTGTTATTGTTAAACGAAATATTTCATGATGCCTTCCCGTATATACGATGAAGTGGCATGTGCTTGCTTTAGTTATGGCAAGTTGACCCATAACCTAAAAATGAATAAAATATGTATATTCAAGGATGTTATATATACACTGGATCGCTAACATTAAGATTCGTCTAATGAG